AACATGAACAAAAGAGCTGAACTTCAGAAGTGAAGTGAGAATGATTGCCTTTGACATCAAGACTGCATTTCACCAAATGTGGCTCAAACACCTGGAGCAAAACTGGATTCAATGGGAATCGGGGGATAAGTCTCCTCTGTTTAAAGGTAAAAGATGACAGCTTGGGTCAGTCAACTGAGGTCTAGTACACAGCTCCAGGTGATCCTCAAGATTTCACAATCCTTCTTGCTGCAGTTATACAGGGCCTTGGGGAGGCCGCACCTTGAGTATTATGTATAGTTGTGTTTTTGGTGTCCTAGTCTGAGGAAGGACATTCTTGCCTTTGAGAGAGTCCAGCGAAGGTTCACCAGACTGATTTCTGGCAGGACTGACATATGAAGAAAGAGTGGACTGATTGGGCTTGTATTTGCTGAAATTTAGAAGAATGACGGGGCAGAAGGGTCCAGACCTGAAACGTCGGCTTTCCTGCTCCTCTGATGCTGCTTGGCCTGCTGTGTTCATCCAGCTCTACACCTTGTTATCTCAGATTCTCCAGCATCTGCAGTTCCTACTATCTCTGCATCTCATATAATGTCCTGTTGGGACTGAGCATGCTAGATGCGGCAAGAATGTTCCTGATGTTGAGGAAGTCCAGAACTGGGGTCGCAGTCTAAAGAATAAGGGATAAGCCATTCAGGACTGAGATGAGGAACAATTTCTTCAGAGTTGTGAACCTGTGGAATTCTCTCCCACAGAAAGCTGTTGGAGCCAGTTTGTTGGATATATTCAAGAGGGAGCTGGACATGGCCCTTGTGGCTAAAGGGATCAAGGGGTAATGGAGAGAAAGCAAAAAAGTGGGATACTGAAATTGCATGATCAGCCGTGATCATAATTAATATAGTGGTGCAAGCTTGAAGGACCAAATGGCCTACTGCTGTACCTATTTTCTATGTTTCTATGTAGAGTCCTAAGCCCAAACATATTTAGCTGTTTCATTAATGATTTTCCATCATAAAGTCAGATGATTGCACATGTTCAGCACCATTCGCAATTCCTCAGGTACTGAAGCAGTCTGTGTCCGAATGCAACTAGACGTGAACAATATCCAGGCCTGAGCTGACAAGTAGCATCTGAGACAGGACGGTATATCAGAATTCAACAACAGGGTCGCACACTTGGGTCAGATGTGGGGCCTGGGGGCAGGACCAGGACCAGTAGCAGCACTAGGGTGTTTCCTCTTTCTGGCCTGACTGAAAAGTGGTGAGTAACAGTCATGGCACACAAGTGTCAGGCAATGACCATCTCAAACAAAAGAGATTCCAACCATCATCCCTTGACTTTCAAACGGCATTACTATTGCTGAATCTTCCACTATCAACATAGTTGGGTTATTAAACAGAAACTGAACTGGACTAGCTATGTAAGTAGAGATAGTAGGAACTGCAGATGCTTTTCTGAAGAAGGGTCTAGGCCCGAAACGTCAGCCTTCCTGCTCCTCTGACGCTGCTTGGCCTGCTGTGTTCATCCAGCTCTATACTTTGTTACCTTAGCTATGTAAGTACTTTGATTATGAATGCAGGTCAGAGACCAGGAATTCGGCAGCAAGTAACACACCTCTTGACACCCCAAAGCCTGTCCAGCATCAACAAGGCACAAGTCAGGAATGTGATGAAATACTCTCCAGTTGCTTGGACGAGCACAGCTCCAACAATCAAAAAGCTTGACACCATTCAGGACAAAACAGCCTGCTTGACTGACACCAAAACCACAAACATTCACTCCCTCCACCACCAACACAGCAGAAATTCATCAAGGCCTATGAGACAGCAACTTCCAAACCCATTGCCACTACAATCTAAAAGAATAAAGGACAACAGATTAGTGGGTACACACCCACCTACAAGTTCTTCTCCAAGCCACTTGATATCCTGAACTATATCATTGATGCAGTGACAGTGAAAGAACAAAGTCTCCTGGAGCTCCCTCCCTAAAAGATTTACCATAAAAGCACACCAAATGTACTGCAGCAGTTCAAGAAGGTAGTTCACCACTGCCTTCTCAAAATGGCAATTAGGGATGGGAAATAAATGCTGGCCCAGCATGCAAAGTCCATATTACTTGAAGGATAAATAAACCCACAAACAACATCAGAATGCATAAGGATCCCAGGGCTAACTGCTCGCATCTATTGGCCACATTAGGTCTGAAATAGACAACCACCAAAGTGGCCCAACAAAGATCTTCATTTTAGGAGTTTGCCAAGAGGATCTGTGAAAGACAATCAAGTCTTTTAAACAGGCAACCGAGTTGTATGTATGCCAAAATATTACTTGTGAGTTAAATGTCTATATTTTGGTGTCTGAGACATCAAATATATTTTTACTTGCTGAATTGAATCAAATGTTTTATATTTTCCAGCTTCTGGATTTATGCTGAATACATAATAGCATCCTCTGAATCTAGAAGTAATTTATCATGATAGAGTTTGCTAATTCCAAGTCATGAAAACACAATATGGTTAAAAGGGGTCAGAGTGTAAAGGACATGTTTCTGTAACAGATCAATCAGACCTTTTGCTTCAGGGGTGTTGAAACAAACCCATCAGAGAATGCTTTAACACTTATAATCAGTTAGAATGTTAAAATGTTATTACTTTAACATGATTTATTCATGCACAGTAGCCTACTGGCAAAGAAGTTTCTAAATTGACTTATCAATGATGCAGTGAATTATTACCCGTTACTTTTGCCTTGGAGCAAAGGTTGAGACCAGCTGAAGTAATGGCACTAAGATTTCTACCTTGACTTTAGCTATTACATGTGAAGTGTTGGACAATTTTAATTCAGTTTCTACTGGCAACTGAGCTGACAGAACAAAAATAAATTCCACAATTTGGTACTCACTCAGAGAGGCCATTATAATGGTTTATGTAAGATCTTTAAGACAGACTCCAAAATCCAGGATCTAGTTATCTCTGATTTTTAACCTACATTTGGCTTGTACTGTATTTGACTACAGTAAGTGTGATACTGTTACATTTCTCTTTTACAGATGCTAGTCTCCCTGTCCTTTCTGAAGCTTACTTTATATAAATGTGTTGTGCAACGTGAAATAGATTTTAATAAGACAGAAGGGAAAAGGTAGTGAATAAACCACTTTTCAATGAAAAAGACATGACATTGTCACTATCAGTAAACACAAAATTACAGGCAAAGTATTACAAAGATTTACTTAGGATTTACAGCACTCCAGCACTGATATTCTTCTACTTGTGAGTTAGAATATTGTAATACATTTCAAATTTGCAGTTTTAAGAGTTCCAAAGTGGGAAAAATATTCTAAAATTGTAGAAGTATTAATATATAATAAAACAAACAAAAGGCAAGAGCACAGGAAGTGAGAAGCATCCATATTTCCAATAATGCACCTGTCACTATAAATCAAAACTGCTTCATTGACTATAAACTTGTACATGTCTGTTTCAAAAGGGGGGGGAGATTGAAAAAAGGACAGAGTTGAAGCTGCCAAGTTATAATTTAGCAGTCCATATTTCCTAAGTGCCATTGGTTGAAGACAATTTGTTCCTTTTGGACAGTTATTTTCTTGTTAAATACAGAACCCTAGTGTTCTTTTAATTTGACTCAGTAAGTCAGGTAAATTGAGGACTTCGGATATCTTCACTAAATCTTTTCACATTTGCAATCACTCCAGAATTTGAAATGATTCCAAATGCATGATACCAATGTGTCCTGATAAAAGGAAACTTCACTTTTCATAGCTTAATTTGTTGTGAACATCATAGAACATAATCAAAGAAACAGAAGCCGACAAAGATATCTGGAAGGATGATTCACAGCTTGTTCAAACCCCTGTTATTTTTAAGAAATGTCTGAAATAAGGAGGAGGAAGTGGAATGGTGAAACAGATTAGAAAGGAATTCCAGATCACAGACCAAAAACCTATTCTAGTTGCGACACTATAGAAAGCATACGATTGCAGAGGATGTTCACCCGAATGTTGCTGGTGCTGGAGCGATTCACCTAATGAAAAGAACTGAGAACACACAGAGACAGTAGGTGGATTGACTGATGCGATGAAATACGAAACTTGAAGTTGTCAGTGTACATGTGGAAGCTGATTGTACACAGATAATGCTGACAGAGATCAGTATGTGCATTAAGAAAGGGAAAGAGTCCAAAGATAGATTTTTGAGAAGCTTCAGACATAATAGTATGAAGGCTAGAAGGTTATAATCAAGTGGATAAGCTTGGAACCAAGCAAGAGCAGTTCCCTCAGACTTGACGACCGAGGTATGGTGATGGTGGAAGATGGCATGCTCATGGGCATCTATCAAAGATTGCTGAAAGGTCAAGGGGGAACCAAAAGAGAATACACCACATTCATTGTCACAGTCATAAATGATATGATCTTCAATTTGGCTTGCTCTATTATTGCAATGGGGCAAAATCTCATTGAAAAGATTCTAATGTAATTGTGGTCAAGTTGTGATAAAGATCCTTAGAGGGCAACAACATGTTCAATACATGTTCAAGCTGCAGAAGAATTAAACTTACAGTCCCAATTTTGATTGCATGGCAATTAGCCTCCCAGCTATCTTCTATCTTCTTTAAAACTGTACTTTTTAAAACCTTAGCTGACCACTTAATGCCATGGCCGCCTTTTTTGTTTTGTACTAAATTTCAACAATTCAACATTGCAGGAAACAAGCTTCATAACAAAAACTGTCTTTACATGTATAGAACTAAACATGAAGTTGTGAAATGGATAAATGTAGCTGGACAATTAGGACAGCCTTGCAGATTTGAGCTGGCAAATTGCATTGAAAGGCTTACCTGTTTCAACAAATATTTTTAGAACTATTTTTTTTAAAATCACAATATGGAATTCTGACCAGCATTCTGAACAGTGGTGTTCCTCAGATTAGAACTATAGACCTTTATGATTTATCCATGTTGTCTTTTCTCATAAATTTGACAAAATTGTTCTGTATTATTTTACAGCACAAGAGGTAATTCAGCTTAATGTTTTTGTCGTCCCTTTGCAAGTTACCTAATTAGTCCTAATCCATTGCTCTTCCCGATAGATCTACAATTTTCTCCACTTCAAAGTTATACATTTAATTGTATTTTTAAAATTATTATTGAATGCTTCCACCATCTTTTCAGACACTGAAACCCAGATCATCATGACACACTTAAAAAAATTATCCTTAAATCACCTCAGCTTTTTTTTTTTTTAAACCAGTTTTCCTAATTCTGTGCCCAGCAGCTGCTGATCCCTCCTTACTGTGGAAATAGTTTATCACTATGAAAACATTTCATAATTCTGAAAATGTCTATTAAATCGCCCTCAACAATTGAAGTCCCACACAGCTGGTATAATTCTAATATATCGCATCTGCACCATATGCGAGGATTTCCTCTGCACCTTTTCCAAGATCCCAACATCCATAAGTATAAACAAGTCATCAATTTGGCTGCCAACTTCTCAAAAAGGTTATATTTGATACTTTTGGTCTCTCTAATGAAGAAATAGCCTTTTATCAGTAACTATTCATCAGAGGTAGCCTAGCTAGGTTAATTGCATTGAGAAGACCAAACAAATAGCTAAAGAAACAGCTACTCTCCATAACCCATCTATGAGATCAATACCAAAAAGGGTTCCAAATCCAGTACAGCTCAACACTAATGGAAGAATAGAAGGATCTTGCAATGATTGACAAAAAAGATGGACCTGTTAGGTCATATGACTTTTGACCTTCGTTTTTAAGAAAAGAGCAATATCCTCCAGTTCAGAAGATGAGGCAGCACGGAAACTTTCTTAACTCTTAGAACACATTTTATAACAAGCAGCAAATCTCCTAGTACCTCTGATGATATCGTCCAACTAATATAAACGTCTTCACTTATTCCAATTTAAAAGCTGTCAAGAATCATATTATTTGCATCTTGTCCTATGATTATTATTTAACATACAAAAGAAACAAATACTTCATTATTTGGAGTAAATTAATTTGTTTAATATTTATATAAAATCCTGAAGTGCTGGTTGCTATTCTGTAAATTTATGGAAACATTCAAATAAAGGAAATTCTTTCAGTCATTGCTTCGAATCATAGGTCTGCGATACCTACATTGATTTAATTTTGCTGATTTTTGAAATACGTTCCTGTATTTCACTTTGCAATCTCTATTTCCAAATAATTTCAGATATTGTTTATTTTGTTAGTGTGCACTCTTTGAAAGTGGAACTTTGAGTAACTCCAGTATGAATTGTCTCAGCTCCAGACAATTATTTGGCACTGATAAACTAAACTCAATTTTACTATTTAAACAGTCCCTATTCACTCGCCACTGAAATGTATTTATACAGTACAAATGCTGGATTTCCCCTATACTGGTGTTCTTGCAAGACTAAAAGTTTTGATAAGATGTATTTTTATCAGCAGCAAGTATCCTATTCCATCATAGCAAATATTTAAGAAAATACAGTTTTGAAATTTTGGAAAATATATGAAATTTTAGGTGCATATTTACCTTTTTTTCATTTGCTTCCAACACTGGGAGTGAATCATAATGAGAATACAGCTATGCACTGTGTTTTCATCCTCAATGTCAACAGCAAAAAGCCAAGAGAGAACAGAAAGATAAAGGATTAATGAAGATTATGCAATGGAAGAGAATCCATGAAAGAAACAAAGGAAGGTTAACAGAAATTATCAGGTAGGATATAAAAGAGTAAGAGAAATGTAGGGAAAAAGGAAAAAAATTTAATCATGCCTTCTGTATCCCCAACTGGGGAAATACTGATTTTCATTGAGGAAAAGTTGTAAAAACAGCTGTAGCCTTCAAGGACTTGATTCAAATGTGAGATTCAAATCTGACTGCGAAGAGTGGATGCGATATCCGACAGTTGAGCAGGATGGAGATTGATGAAGGCAGAGCAGTGGACTTGATCTATATGGACTTCAGTAAGGTGTTTGACGAGGTTCTACACGGTAGACTAGTTAACAAGGTTAGATCACACGGAATACAGGGAGAACTAGCCAATTGTGTACAGAACTGGCTTGATGGTAGAGGACAGAGGGTGGTGGGGGAGGGTTGCTTTTCAGACTGGAGGCCTGTGACCAGCAGTGTGCCACAAGGATGGGCCAATGGACCAAGGAGTGGCAGATGGAGTTTAATTTAGATGTGGGGTTCTGCATTTGGGAAAGGCAAATCAGGGCAGGACTTATACACTTAATGGTCAGGTGCTGGGGAGTGTTGCTGAACAAAGAGACCTTGCAGTACAGGTTCATAGTTCCTTGCAAGTGGAGTCCCATGTAGACAGGATAGCGAAGGAGGCATTTGGTATGCTTGCCTTTATCGGTCAGTGCATTGGGTATAGGAGTTGGAAGGTCATGTTGCAGCTATAGATCACATTAGTTAGGCCATATTTGGAATACTGCATTCAATTCTGGTCTCCCCACTTTAGGAAGGATATTGTGAAACCTGAAAGGGTTCAGAAAATCCGAGATAACAAGGTGTAGAGCTGGATGAACACAGCAGGCCAAGCAGCATCATAGGAGCAGGAAAGCTGACGTTTCGGGCCTAGACCCTTCATCAGAAATATCTCAGGGTTCAGAAAAGATTTACAAGGATGTTGCCAGTGTTGGAGGGTTTGAGCTATGTGCAAAAGCTGAATAGGCTGGGGCTATTTTCCCTTGAGCATCAGAGGCTGAGGGGTGACCTTACAGAGGTTTATAAAACAATGAGGATAGGGTGAATAACCAAATTCTTTTCCCAAAGATAGGGGAGTCCAAAACTAGAGGACATAAGTTTAAGGTGAGAGGGGAAGGATTTAAAAGGGATCTAGGGGTAACTTGTTCACACACAGGACGGTGAATGGAATGAGCTGCCAGAGGAAGTGGTGGAGGCTGGTATAATTACAATATTTAAAAGGTATCTGGATGGGTGTATGAATAGAAAGTGTTTAGAGGGATATGAGCAAAATACTGCCAAATGGGACTGAATTAATTTAGGATATATGGTCTGCATGGACAAGTTGGACCAAAGAGTGTGTTTCCATACTGTACAGCTCGATCACTGTATATCATCAAAAGTGCCAGTAAACAAATTAGAGATCTGGCTTTGAGCAAAACTCAAGCTCTAAAACATAACAGAAAAAACTGCATCGTCTGTTCTGGTAAATTTCCAACCAGATGCACACCCTCCCTCACAGATGATGCAAAAGTGAAAGAGTTTGTCAGTTGAAGTGGAGTACTTCATAGCATAGAAATGAAAGGACTGACCACTTATAAGCATGGGAAGGTCCATAAAGAGAATAAAACCAGACGAATTTCATGTCCATAAAATCAAAAGGCTTCATTATGAACTGTTACAAAGAACAATATAGAAATTTCAAAGGCTCATAAGCCTCACAAAAAGTAATTGCTTAGCTATTTAGAGAATAATCATTGTGTATTCAGGAAATCGAAAAGTAATCAAAACATGGTCCATCATTTTGTTAGTTGATCTCAGCATATGAAATCAATCAAATAAGTAATAGAAAGCCTACATAATTCAGGCAATCTACAAACCCAGTGCACAAATAAAACACATATCTTTAAAACAAAATTACAAGTATTTTGAAGTGGGAGATTTTAAAATGCAAATCTTATTATCTTTTCTTCAACTTTTAGCTAATAAACTGATGTGTCAAGTGTCAACTGTCAACAGAGGCGTATCGAAATGGCCTCGTATCCGACTCAATATCAGCAGAAGGCGCAGGATCAAAAAGTTGCCGTCGTAGAGTGGAACATGATCACGAAGTAACGGAGTGGACGCAGTATCATGACTCGATCTGAATATAGACCGTCTGTAGGTTTAAGTTCACTCCTTCCCTTTCACCCGGCGATTATGTACATTTACCCAATAGGATTAAAGGCTGCACTCTCCTACAACCTGCATACCGAGACCCACTTTAAATAGCCCCGATGCTTACCTACTGGTTTTCTGTCTCCTGGAATGATCACAACAATATCCCAAACAAAATTAACTTTTGTTTAAACTACATCAATTTGACACTATTTCCTGCTTCATTGCAGGACGCCATCTTACCTGCTAGTCGTTGACGTCATCGCGCTGATCATGTGACTATCGTCATGCGCTGACGTAAATATTACCGCAAAGGACACGCTGTGGTGTTTGCGCATGCGTATTGCTAAACGGCGCACTGTTGATCTTTACTTCCGAGGAAAGAAAGGAAAGTGGAAGTTATCGCTTTCGAAAATACGTAAACTGGTGATCTTAGATTCCGCTTCATATAGATCTATTCCGTCAAATGCAGGCATACTAAAATTAAAACAGGACATGATGGAAATACTGAGTAAATCTGGCAGCAACTGTAGATGTAGGTCAAAAATGACACGACATCAGGTTATGGAAGGCTGACGTTTCGGGCCTAGACCCATCATCAGAAATGGGGGAGAACGGGGTTCTAAAATAAATAGGGAGAGAGTGGGAGGCGGATAGAAGATGGAGAGGAGACAGACAGGTCAAAGAGGCGGGGATGGAGCCAGTAAAGGTGATGGTAGGTGGAGAGTTAGGGAGGGAATAGGTCAAGGAGGCGGGATGAGGTTAGTAGGTAAGAGATGGGGGTGCGGCTTGAGGTGGGAGGAGGGGATAGGTGGGAGGAAGAACAGGTTAGGGAGGCGGGGACGAGCTGGGCTGGTTTTGGGATGCGGTAGGGGGAGGGGAGATTTTGAAGCTTGTGAAATCCACATTGATACCATTGGGCTGCAGGGTTCCCAAGCGGAATATGAGTTGCTGTTCCTGCAACCTTCGGGTGGCGTTGTTGTGGCACTGCAGGAGGCCCAGGATGGACATGTCGTCTGAGGAATGGGAGGGGGAGTTGAAATGGTTTGCGACTGGGAGGTGCAGTTGTTTATTGTGAACAGAGCGCAGGTGTTCTGCAAAGCGGTCCCTGAGCCTCCGCTTGGTTTCCCCGATGTAGAGGAGGCCACAACGGGTAC